TTGTTTTGTGTTTTTAAATCATAGCCTACTCTGGTACAATAGTGGTTACAAATCGGGCTGTGAACCTCAAGGTCAGCAGTTTGAAACCACCAGCTGTTTCACCGGAGAAAGATGAGGCTTTCTGCTCCTGTAAAGATTTACAGCCTTGGAAATCCTGCACAGAGTCATTGTGAGTCGGTACCAACTCCATGGCACACCACCACCACACCTGTTGTTGTTGTTGTTGTTATGTGCCGTGGAGTCGGAACCGACTCATAGCGACCCTGTAGAAATGGTTAAACACTGACCATTTCTTTTTGTTACAGTGACTCTGTATTCCTTCCATCTTCTTTTGACACTTTCTGCATCATTTAATATTTTGCCCATAGAATCTTTCAATATTGCAGGTCAAGGCTTGAATTTTTTTCTTCAGTTCTTTCAGCTTGAAAAATGTTAAATGCGTATTCTTCCCTTTTGTTTTTCTAACTCCAGATCTTCGCACATTTCATTATATATAGTACTTTGTATTCTCTAGGTGCCCTTTAAAGGTATATGGCAGGTGTTTTATAATGACTGAGAACTTGAAATAACGCATAGTTTATTTCAAAGAAACTGACTCTTGAGAATATAAAAAACCTATTGTGATTTTTAAGATGGTCAGTCTTAAGTAAGGGAATGAGAATTGCTGCATTGTGAACTGTTAGAAGTGGTCTCAAAATATTTCTGAAAATCAAGGACGCTGAAGAGCGCAGATGTGAGTTTTGTATTTCTAATTCAGTAGATTAGAAAAGAAAAACTAAAGGCTGTATAGAGAACCCTCTTGTTTGTTTTAAAATTTAGTCTCGGGTTTAACCTCAAATATAGGATTCGTCTCTTTTTTTTAAACTTTGTATTGTGAATTGAATGAAGGTTGAACAGATCATCAGTTTTACGTTCAACAAATCCTGTATTTTAATTTCAATTGCGGCAATTCCTTCAGTGTAACACCAGTCATTCACTTCCTCCTTTCCTCCCTGTGATGCTTTTTCCATTCCATCCTTCTCAATTCTTCTGAATTGTATCCTTAGGTAAATGCTGTCCCTTTGATCCTGAATGGTTGAGTATTCTTCACAAAGGTTGTTGCCCCCTCTTCCCCTACTCCTCCTATATAGACCTATCTACTGCTTGGCTAAAATTTGAGCCATGAGGGTGAGTGAGTTCAGTTCCAAACCTGTAGCGTGACTGAGGTCCATAGTCTTGGATTCCTCTGTTTCTTTCTGACTAGTGAGCCTGGTCCTCTTTTTTTCTTTTCTTCCCCTTCGCCTCCCCTTCCCTCCCCTCCCCCCCCTCCCCTCTCCTCGTTTTTTCCCCACATTTTCTCCCACTCTTTCCAGGACTTTCTAATGTGATCTCTTTCAGAACAGTTGGTAGTAAAGACTGATGTTCATGTATTCCATTGGTCCATTGGACTAATTGATTCCAATCATCTTCAGTTTTCGTCACTCTCCTTTCCTTTGCATAGGGAGAGATCAATAGTTGCGCCTTAGATAGCTGCTCATGAGCTTTTAAGATCCTTGTCTCTACTCAGCAAAGTATAATGTAGAACAATGTCTATTTGTGAACTGTATTATGCCAGTTGACCATGGTGTCCCCGAAACTGTGGTTCTGAGCACCATCAACTCATTCCCTCAAGGTGTCTGGTAATGTTTAAGAAGCTTTCATAATTTTACTCCCGGTATTTGCCACTACTTTCTTGGCTATGTTTGCAGCAAATGTGCAAATACTCTGTCAAACTTTTATGTATTTGTGGGAATATTGGATTCTTACAATTGAAAAAAATAGTGCTTACACAGAAGGCCTGAATTTGACCTTTGATTAAAACATGGTCACTGATGCCAAAGATGGAGGCAGAGACAATGACATGGAGAGATGGAATGGCTGGGGACTTTAGACCCAGAGAGGGAAAGGGGCTGTGTGCTGATGACCGGGGACAGGCTTACAGGGTATACCCTTTGGTTGGTTGATGATGCATGGAGGGAATTGTAACCATGGCAATGAAACGATACACGATAGGATGAATGTAAAACTAATGTTCTCTCATGTAAACTATCACATAATTCACAGTAAAACATTTTAAAACATGGTCACTGAAATGTATCTTTCTACCATTAAACTTTAAGGTGCCCTGGTGGCACAATGGTTCTAAGTGCTTGACTGTTCAAACCCACCCAGTGAATCCCTAGTAATCTGCCCCAGTAAAGATTGTTGTTTTTAAGTGCCATTGAGCTGGTTTCAACTCAAGTTGTTGTTAAGTGCCGTCAGGTCGATTCTGACCCATAGCGACCCTGTATAGGATTTCCAAAGAGCAGCTGATGAGCTTGAACCGCCGACCTTGCAGTTCAAATGGCTTTGCAGTCTGGTGCAGTAACCCACAGCGCCACACCAGGACTCCAGGTTTTAAAAGTGGGAAGGATTATATCCCAATTAAAGTTAGAAGAATAATACATGTTGGGCTGCTAATCGCTAAATCAGCAGATCTAATCCACTAGCTGCTCCACAGGAGAAAGGTAAAGTTTTCTGTTACTGTAAAGATTTACAGTTTCTCAGAAACTCTATATAGGGTCACTATGCAGAATTGATTTGATGGCAGACCACCACCACCTGTGTATTATTATGCAATAAATTTTATTGATAGGAGTGAAGTGTGCATGCAGATGTCATGGAGGTAGAAGAAAGGTTGAGAGCCATTGCTAGTAGTCCTCATTAAAGTCACTTGATGAAGGTGATTTTTTTTTTATGTATCTATTTTGAAGATGAAGACTGAATTGTGTTAAGGCATGGTTAACTGCATATTAAATTAGCTTAGTGGTCTTTTTTAGGGGTTGCTTAAAGAAAAAATTTAGCTTGCTAGAAAATCACTGCTTTGCTAATAAGTGGTGTACTTTGTCAAGCATAAGGTTGTTACTTTAGGTCATTACTTATCTTATATGTGTAGGATAAGCACTGGACTGCAGACCACAAGGTTGGCGGTTCAAGCCTACCAGCTGCTCTGTCGGAGAAAGATAAGGCTTTCTTCTGCAAAGATTTAGAGCTTTGGAAACACTATACAGGGTCACTTATGAGTTGGAATCCACTTAATAGCACTTAACAAGGACAACATCATGTAGATTGCATCAGTTGTGGCTATAAAAAGAATTGGGGGCTTGTGTGAAATGCTTTTCCATGTCATTCTAGGATACCATTTTAACCACGGCAATGGCCAGAGGTAGATAGAACTGGAAATGCAGAAAAAAATATTAACAGAGGTGACGAGTTAGTTGCAATTGTTTGGTTCTGAATAGACTATTTTTCCTGTTGATTCCTGCTAACTTTTTTGAGAATGCTGTGGGGGATTGGAGGTGAGTCCAAAATTCAAGAAGATTTTTCTCTTTATTGTATGTTTCTTTTATTTTAAATTTGCCCCTCTGGTGATAGATGTTCTGCTTAGTACTATTTTGATCAATTTTTTAAAGCCTAGCATCTTAAATTACCTAGCTGGCATGAAAGGCAAAGCTTTGAAACCAGAAGCAGGAAGGTATTTCCCTTGGAGGGAGTCAGCCGCTCATTTCTTAAAGTAAATTTAGACTCCATTGTCTGTGGGAGTTAACCTCACCACTGTCAGCACTATCCAGTTCTTTGTCTGAGTTTGGAAGAAGTAGCCTTGGCTCTGGTGGACAGCCTCTGGTGGTATTACACTGGAAACGGTTTGGATTTTGAAGACCTTCACAGTCAAAATTCTAATGAAACTCTGACATTGCAAAGATTTCTGGGAGCCTGGTGGTGCTATAGGATAAGCACTGGACTGCTAACCACAAGGTTAGCGGTTTGAGCCTATCAACTGCTCCGAGATAGAAAGATGAAACTTTCTGCTCTCATCAAGATTTATGTCCTCAGAAACCATATACAGGGTCACTGTGAATTGGAATCAACTTGATGGCACTTAACAACAACACAAAGATTCCTGCGTTGTTTTGTTTTTTTTTTTCAGAATTTTTGGAAAATGTACCCTTCCCTTCACCATTTCCAGGGCATAGAATAGTTTAGGTGGTTATTCCTTTATTCATTGAGATGCATTGATCACCATGTAAGGAGTTTAGAACCAGATCTACCCAATGGGTTGCCATGCTAGTTTGATCTTTTAGGCTGTGTTGAGTGGTAACCTGTGAATTTTTCTCTGTGTCCTAATCGCATCATCACCTTGTTCAAAAGTGGTTCTTTTATAGATTGGTTTAGTGATGCTTACTATTCTTTCTTGGACTTTTCTTGTCATCTGGACTCATGACGGCTGGTTAATTTGGCTTCCATTTTTAGAAGGACAGGAGATGGGGTTTCATCAGAATAAGGTTGTAGGGGTCAGTTCTTACAGGAGGATAAAATAAGGATCGCTTAACAGACTGTACTAAAAGGTCAGCTCTATAGTTTTTGAGTGTTAAATGTTTTTGTTGTTGTTGTTAAGTGCCGTCGAGTCGGTTCCGACCCATAGCGACCCTGTACAGGGTTTCCGAGGGTGTAAATCTTTACGGGAGTAGAAAGCCTCATCTTTCTCCCGCGGAGCGCCTGGTAGTTTCGAACTGCTGACCTTAAGGTTCACAGCCCGATTCGTAACCACTAGAGCTTTAACCCTGGTAATTAGCTGATTATCTAAAGGTATTTATGCTCTGATCTATTCCAGGAATGTGACTACACCAGATATATTAGTAATCTGTAGCTTAAGAACTATGAATGGTTTTTACACTTTTAAAGGGTTGTAAAAACACAACAACGGATACTTTGCAACAGAGACCACATGACCATATGTGGCCTGCAAAGTGTAAAATATTTATTATCTGACCTTTTACAGAAAAAGTTCGTCAAACCCTTGACTATCCCATGATCACAGTGGAATTAGGAGATAAGATGGATAGTTTCTCTCTCTGGTGTCACACCCAGTCACCTGATTTTCCTGATTGTTCAGTGTCTCTAATGTTAAGGTTGTCCTTAATGAATTTCTGTTTCATTTGCAGGTATATGAGTGACCTAAAGCTGCAAATTAAAGTGGAGAGAGAGCAGTGCCAACTGCGAGTAGGGCAAGGATGCCAATTCCTCCTCCCCCTCCACCGCCACCTGGTCCTCCTCCACCTCCCACGTTTAATCAGGTAGGTAGTCTGTTGTTGTTTTTAATTTTTATTGTGAATCGAGTGAAGATTTACTGAACAGATCATCTTATATTCAACAAATCATGCACTTCATCTTGATTTCGGTGCCCTCCATGTAACATCACTTCTCCAACTTTCTTGCTGTGTTTCTTGTTTCTCTTCCTCCTTTACCCATCCTACTCAATTTTGTCCTAAGGTAAATGCTGCCTTTTTTATCTTGAATGCCTTTTTGACCTTTCTATGGTGTATTGTTTCTCCTATATATACTTATATATACTTATTTATTGCTGGATTGAAAACTGAGTCACAGAGATGCCACCAGGCTGTCTTAAAGTCTTTGAATAAATAGATCAGTGATGCTCACATTTTTTTTTTAACCCCCTTTGTTAAGAATTCTAGATTTTCTTGCCCACAGTATTCTTATTCAGAGCCTGCTCCTTAATCCTCACTTTTTGACATCTCAGGTTTTTGATAGTAGTGTTAATTGATACTTAGGGCTTCCTGGTATAAGACTCAGTTCTCAAAGACACGTGGTATAGGCAGACGAAGAATAAACAGATGAAGTCTCTCCTCTGTTCTGATTCCAGAGAGGCCCTAGTAGGACCATAATGTTTGTCTTATGTCCGTGTCCTAAGTAGCTTAAATGTAAATTTTGACTGGTGGTATCTGAGTAGGAATGTCCCTAAAAATATTTGCCCAGTAAATGTCAGTGTGTCATTTCTTTGGCATTCTTGAGAATAAGAATGGTGATTCCTAGTGGTTGTTACTTGTAACCATTTCATCTCCTCTTCTACTCCAAATCAGTTCATTTTAAAGAGACGTTAATCAAATCTAACTACCTCATTAAGAAAGAAAGGAGTTTATAGAAGACTTGAATAGTTTGATAATGGGAAAAAAAAAAGTGCCGCTTCTGAACCAAGGAGGCAGCCACTCAAGCCATATTTGGACTGTGATACCTGCTGTTTCATGAGGAAGAAGGAATTGATGTGTTTTACCTCATTTTTGTAAAACTTTGGTAGTAAAAGTAACTTTAGAGAACAAGTAGCCCAAGTGTTTGTGTTTAACAGATAAGAAATTATGCCCTAAAGAGGAAAGGTGACTTGCCTCCCTAATGTATTTCAGATCTGCCAACTTCTGGTCCAGTATTGCCCGCATAATCTCTGGTTTACATGTATTTTGAGGATTGAACCCTCTTTTAGATGAAATTTTATATGGAAGCCCAATAAGGAAAGTAGAGCCTCTCTGGTTAGAGTGGGATTTGAGGACCCCTATAGGGTATACCCTTATGCCGTTGGGTTTCTGTGTGGATTATTGCCTTGTATCATGCTGTCTTGGTCACTCACTCAGTAGCCTTTTATTGAGGACTGTAAAATGGTCAGAGTGACAGCATCAGAAACTGCCTAATTTCAGGGCAGTTATACCCAGAGCTGATTTCCATGAGGTGGAAGTCACATGTCTCTGCTCTCTAACCTTTTTTTTTTTTTTTAACTTTTTAACTAATTCTGAACTGGCCATCCTTCTATGGCACACTCTCCTTTTCTTCGGGTTCAATAATTCATTGCAGTGGCCATACAGAACTCACGGACTGTACTTACAGTTAAGTGGTTTATTAATGAAGTAACAGGGATCAGGAAGTGTGTAAGCAAAGTCCCCTTTCTTCAATGCAGGACAGCTCTGTCAGCCATTCTGTTCTTGTCTGTCACAGCTGACTCTGCTGCAGGATCTCTTCTGGACCTGTTGCTTCCAGCTCTGCAGCTGGGCTCCTGGGCTGGCCACTGTCTTCACTGTTACAACCCTTGACCTCTGCTACAGCTCTTTTAGGAGGTTCCCTGCCTCCTTTGTCTCTCCTCGCTTACCTTTCTCTTTTCTTTAGCTTCCTACCTGTGTATGAACTCTGTGGAGCTGGCTGCATATATACGTACATTCCTCAGCAATTTCAATGCATGGCCTGCCCACCAGGAATATGAACTGAACTGACCATAGCCTTTTCATTAAGCCACAGACTCTTCATTTGCATCGTAGATCATGCTAATTTCATTTGCATATATAGTCACCTTCTTTGCATAGTATATAACCAGTCCCTGAACAAATTGTTTACACCTTACCTAAACACAAACCAAAACCCCCAAATCTCCTATCACCGAGTTTATTCGTAGCGTAGTGGTTACGAATCGGGCTGTGAACCTCAAGGTCAGCAGTTCGAAACTACCAGCTGTTCCACGGGAGAAAGATGAGGCAATCTGCTCCCGTAAAGATTTCCAGCCTCGGAAACCCTGTGCAGGGTCGCTATGAGTCGGAACCGACTCCACGGCACATAACAACAACAACAATAACCCAATGAGTAGGGTTTTCCCTTGTGGTTAATAATCCAATGCATAACTCATTACCACCAGAGTTCTGTACAGTTTACCTAGGAATGTTAATCAGCCTGGACAAAAGTAACAAATCCTTTGAGATAGAAAACTAGGGCAAACCTTCTCAGGGTTTAGGGGGGAAATGTCTCAAGCAGTTTTTCCAAAGAATCAAGGCAAAAGGCCACGTAAAAAACTAATTTTATCACAAGGGCTTATTATGTGTCAGGGACTCAACTAGGTTACACAGTTTAGAAAATCTGGATATTTAGATGGTGTTACATTGAAGGGATTGCAATCAGTGAGGTGAACCAAAATGTGTATGAACTAGTGAATAGAAAACGGATGTGCTCTGTAAACCATCACCCAATTAACAATAAAAAGTTAACCAAAAACCCTGGACAGGGTCGCTATGACTCGATGGCAGTGCATTTTTTTCATAAGCTGAGAATCTTCTCACTGATCTTGCAGAGATATGATTTAAAGTTAGGGGCCATTCTCCAGATGAAGCCTTTTCCTCAGACTGCCAGTAGGATGCCCTTTTACTTGTTACTTTTGTTCTCTTCAGTATTAATTATAAGGAGCTCTGATAGCGTAGTGGTTATGAGTCGAGCTGCTAATCTCATGGTCAGCGGTTCAAAACTACCAGCTGTTCTGCAGGAGAAAGATGAGGCTTTCTGCTCCCGTAAAGATTTACAGCCTCGGAAATCCTGTACAGGGTCACTATGAGTCGGACCTGACTCCATGGCACGTAACCACACAATACTTAGGTGTTACTTGGCTCTTTTACAGCAAGAAAATATTTAAATAAGTAAAAAGAGAGAAAACATGAAGATGAACAAAAAGACGTGAATAAAGATCATTTGTAATCCCATCATCCAGAGATGAGACATGGTCTCTGCCTCCAAGGTCTTCCAAGTGAGACAGACAAGTCAACAGGCCAGTTCAGGGCTGTCCTTAGGGCAGTGAGGCCACAAAGAAGGGTGCCTGGTTTAGTGGGTGGAGGAAGAAGGCTGTCAAAGAAGGTTTCTAGTGGGGAGGTGTGAGATGAGCTAGTTTTAAAAGGTGATTGGCGTTTAGCTAGGAGAGTGGAGGGAGGAAAGGCACTTTAAGTCAAGGATGCAGAATGTGGAAGGATGCTGATTTGTGAGAAAGCAGGCTGGGGTTTAGATTAGTGTTTGACACAAGGTATGGTGAGAAATGAAGCTGAAAGTGGTGGCTGAGGGTTTGGATGTTTTTTCCTAGTGATGATGGGAAGGTGTTGAAGGATTTCCAGCAGCAACAGGAGTGACTTGTTTGAGTTTGTAGTAAAAGGTCATCTTAACAGCGTGGAGAGTGGATTGGGTGTTGCAGTTGAAAATTGAGGGTCTGGACTAGAGTGATGAGGATGGAGAGTGGAAGATGAATTCAAGAGATGCTTAGAAAGTAAACTTAAGAGAGTTTGGTGAGTGAGGAAGAGGGGAGAGGTTTGACTCACTCTCGTTTGATTTAAATGAGGTTTAATGCAAGTAATGTGCAAAATACTTGAGACATAGTTGTTGTTGTTAAGTGCCATTGAGTAGGACCTGACGCCTAGTGATCCGTATAGGGTTTCCAAGCCTTTAAACTTCATGGGAGAAGAAATCCTCATCTGTCTCTATCTCCTGCAGAGCTGCTTGCTGGACTCAAACTGCAGACCTTGTGATTCGAAGTCCAGTGCTTACCGTATGGAGCCACCGCTGTCTGTGAGACATTTGGGGGCTCAATAAATGTTTGCCTCAATGATGCTGCTGCTGTATAAAGCTTTTCACACTATCACTAACACGTTTGTTACGTGCTGTTGAGTTGGTTCCAACTCATAGCAGTCCTTTACAGGAGTGGCTAGTGGGCTTGGCCCACTGACTTTGCAGTTAGCAGTCCAGTGCTTATCCTTCAGCATCACACCAACACATAGGTATTCATTAAAAATTAGTGCAGGCCGCCTATCATAGGCTTCTGAATAGGAGAAAGAACCATACACCCTTCACTGAAAGTAGAACCGGAGAAAAAGAGTAATAATTGCATCAATTCTAATTATATCAAATGTATATTTGATTGGGTTAGGGAGACAAAATGCTGGGAGAGAGAGCTTCCTCCTCATGAAATCCAGTTTGATCAAGTTATTTATCCTGAACTTGTAATGAAAGAGGACTACTGAAAATGAACTACATTTTCCTCTTCCTCTAGGCAAACACAGTGCAGCCCAAGCTAAGTAAAGATGAGCAGCGGGGTCGAGGGGCTCTTTTACAGGACATCTGCAAAGGAACCAAGCTGAAGAAGGTGACTCACGTTAATGATCGGAGTGCTCCCATCCTCGAGAGTGAGTCTAAGCTTCATTTCTTAGGCTTGAATCACCAGGATTCCAGGATTGACTTGGAGACCTGGATGGGGTGTTAGTGTTGTTGTTGGGTCCCAAGTGAGAGAGTTTTGTCTTGGGATCTCATTTGGCTCTCTTCCCTTCTGCTCATTTAAATACTTTAGAAGTTTCTTCTCGACCTCTGGGAAGCATTTTCAAAGTTAAAACTCCCATCTCCTGTTGTAACTAGTGCTTATAAGTTGTTACAAATGTCCACTCCTATAGGCCTCTGCAGAATTTGCCCACACCTGGATCCCCCCCACTTACCATCCAGGACTTGGAAATGAGAGCCCAAAGAGTTCTACTGAATATTTCTTTATTCCACTTACCCCTATGCCCTAGAGAAGGGAGGATTGGCTCCTTTTCCTTCTGTCCTTTCTTTTTCATCACAGCAGAGTTTCTTGCCTACATGCTGCAGAACACAGAGGCCTTGTTTGTTTTTTTTTTCTTAATGGAAAATCAAAAAGCAAGGTTGGTTGGTTTAGTTTGCAAATTAAAACCAGATTGAGAATGGGTTTCTCTTCATGAATGACTTGATCGCTAGTTCAGAACATATGAAATTAAAACCCCAATGGTACGTTTTTCAGAGCCCAAAGGAAGCGGTGGTGGTTGTGGCTCGGGAGCAGCTGCCCTGCAGCCCAAGGGAGGTCTCTTCCAAGGAGGAGTGCCAAAGCTCAGACCTGTGGGAGCCAAGGACGGTTCAGGTACCAGATAGCTACTTTCTAAAATTACTTCTAAGTGTAGTAACTTTTTTTTTCTCCCAAAGCCAAAAAAAAAAAATTGTCTTTAAATCTCTTTTCTCTTAATTTTTCATCATTCTTAACAGAAGCTCAGTGTCCCCTACGCAAGTGTGTTGATTTTTGATTGATTCTAGCTGGACCATCTAGGCTTGAGGAGTGAGTGAGAGGTGGGAGGAAGGAGGAATGGAGCAGGGGAGGAGATATAAAGTAGAATAAAGCAAAAACTGAGGCATTAAATAAAAATAGAGTTCACCTATATCAGTAATATCTGTTAGTGAACCCTGACCCTGACACTAGATTAAACCCAGAGCTGCCTAAGAGCTCTCCTGGCCCCCACACAGATTGCAGAGGAGAATGGGTGAAGTAGATGTACCAACAGGTACCTAGCTCTGTTGACCCAGGTCTGTCTGCTGTATTTGTAGAGAATCTAGCTGGTAAGCCAACCCTACAAGTCCCCAGTTCTCGAGCTGCTGCCCCAAGGCCTCCGGTGTCTACAGCCAGCGGCCGCCCTCAAGATGATGCAGACAGCAGCCGAGCCTCACTCCCAGAACTGCCCAGGATGCAGAGACCCTCTTTACCGGACCTCTCTCGACCTAATACCACCAGCAGTACTGGCATGAAGCACAGCTCCTCTGCCCCTCCTCCACCCCCCCCAGGGCGGCGTGCTAATGCACCACCTACACCCCTGCCTATGCACAGCAGCAAAACCCCAGCCTACAACAGAGAAAAACCTTTGCCGCCAACACCTGGACAAAGGCTTCACCCTGGTCGTGAAGGACCTCCTGCTCCACCACCAGTCAAGCCACCTCCTTCCCCTGTGAATATCAGAACAGGACCAAGTGGCCAGAATCTGGCTCCTCCTCCGCCGCCTTACCGCCAGCCTCCTGGAGTCCCCAATGGACCCTCCAGTCCCACTAATGAATCAGCCCCTGAGCTGCCACAGAGACACAATTCTTTGCATAGGAAGACTCCAGGGCCTGTTCGAGGCCTAGCGCCTCCTCCACCCACCTCAGCCTCCCCTTCTCTGCAGAGTAATAGGCCACCTCCCCCAGCTCGGGACCCTCCTAGTCGAGGAGCAGGTAAGTGCAGGAAAGCTATTTTTTTCCCTTATTATACGGAAGATTGAATTTATCTTTTCCCTTCACTATTCTTCTCATAACTCCCCTTCAGAGATAGAAAAGAATTATTATCATTATTATATTTGGGGTTCTGGTGTGGTGCTGTAGAATAAGGAGTGGATGCTAACCACAAGATTGGTGGTTCAAACCCCTCAACCATTCCTTAGAAACCCTCATCCAGCAGGTTTATTGAATGCCTTTTTTTGTGTATCAGACTTTGTTATAGGTGTTAGGGAAATAGCAATAAAAGTAGAGAAGACGAAACATTCCTCTTATGGACAGTCACACTAGTAAAGTGTATAAATCCATAGTACACAGTATGCTTTAGAGAAAAACAATGCAGAGAAAGGAATAGTATATACTGAGGTGGGTAGGTAATGGTATTTTAAATTAGGGTTGGAAGTAGAGCTGGAGAAGGCTGTATTGAAAAGGTGACAAATTAGCAGAGACCTGGAGAAAGTGATAGAGTGATCTAAGCAGCTATCTGAGCATGTAACTATTGCAGACATTGGGAACAGAAGATGTCAAGGCCCTGAAGGAGTATTCTAGGGACAGCTAGGAAGCCATTGTGGCAAAAATAAAATATGTGAAGGAACATTGGCAGCAGTGGAGGTCAGAAAGCTAGACTTCATGGGAGAACACTGCAAGACTTTATAAAGACTTGGCTTTCACTCTACATGGACTGGGAAATTACTGGAGTGTTTGGAGAGAAGTAGCATGATTTGATTTTTTAAAAGATCATTAGCCCCTGTGTTAAAAATAGAATGCAGGAGGGAAGTGTGGCAAAAGACCACTTGGGAGGCTGTTGCAATAAACCAGGCAGATGGATAAGACTACAGCAGGTTTGGAGGGGAAGATAAGTGTTCATGTTTGGATAAGTTAAGTTTGAAACATTGAAGAGGAGATAATGAATTGGTAGTGACTGTAGATAGAGAAAAGGTCTGGGAATGTCTACATTAGAGGTAAGAGGGACAAGGAACACCTAACCAAGGAAATGAAGAAAGGACCCTCTAGTGAAAAAGGGAGGAGGTAATGAAGAAAGTCTTTCAGCAAAGATGGAGTGATCAGCTATGTCCAGTGCTGCAGACAGATCATGTAAGTTGAAGACTGAGAGTTGACATTGGTCTTAACAACATGGGAGCCATTTTGAGGTATTTTAGTGAAGAGTATTAGAAGGTGAAAGCCCACTTAGAATGGATTCAAGCATGGATGTTGTCGTTTTTAAATGCCGTTAAGTCAGTTAGACTCATAGTCACTACCCTGTATAGGGTTTCTGAGAATCAGCTGGTGGGTTTGAACTGCCAACCCTGTGGTTTGCAGTCCAGTGCTCATCCCACAGCGCCACACAAGCCAGGGCATGAGGAGAAAAATTGGAGGTAGCAATATAAAGCTCTAGTCTTTTACTGTGAAAGGAGACAGATGAATGGAGTGGTTCTAGAAGATGTGTGGGGTTGAAGGCCCCTTATCCCCACTCTTTTTCACCTACCTTCCCACTCCCACCCCTGTTGCATGGAATGATCGAAAAGAGAGGGAAAAAAAGTGATTCAGGTGAAAGAAACAAATTGCCGGAGTAATGTCCTAGAGTAGGCAAGAGGGCATGGAATTTGATCCATAGGTCCAAAATTGGCCTTAGAAAGGAGCGCAGATAACTCTTCCATGGTAACAGGAAGGAAGGCAGAACATATGACAGGGCTTCAGAAAGTTCATGGAAAAATGGATTGAAGAGATAATGGAATTTTTCCACAAACTGTTTGAAGCCCCCATGTATAGGCATAGAAACAAGTGTGTAGGTGGATGTAGTGGTAGTAGCTTGTGGAAAGTTTCTTCTGATATGCTTCTGTTTTCTCAGTGAAGTAGAAAGCCAGATCATCAGCTGAGAATGAGGTGAGGCGAGGAGATTTGAGGAGAGAGAAGGTATGAATTGACTATCTGGGAGAGTAACTGGACTAGGGAAATGTGGCAGATTGCCACTTGATATTAGGGACCATACATTTGTAGGTACAGAATTGTATTGAACCAGTTATCATCTTTTAGGCATGTTGGACTACAGGACAGAGGGGAGAGGAAGTGAAGGATGTTTGCAAGGGAGTGATTTTAATAATGGACCCTGGAATAAGGATGTCAACATTTTCCAAGGAACCCTAGAAAAGGTCAAAGAAGTTAGAAAATCTTTCTAAAAAATAGCTTAGCTGAAATAGGCAAGTGAAAGAGACTCTGGCAACTCTCTGGGGACTTCTTGTTTTTGTTAGGTGCCATCGAGTCGGTACCAACTCATAGCAACCATATGCACAGCAGAACGAAACGCTGCCCGATCCTGGGCCAACCTCACTACTGTTGCCATGCTTGAGTCCATCGATGCTGCCACTTGGCAAATCCATCTCATTGGGGGTCTTCCTCTTTTTCTCTGACCCTCCACCTTACCAAACATGATATCCTTCTCCAGCGACTGGTCCCTCCTGACAATATGTCCGAAGTATGAGAGAGGAAGTTTGGCCATATTGGCCTCCAAGGAGTACTCTGGCTGCACTTCTTCCAACACGGGTTTATTGGTTCTTTTGGCAGCCTCCAACACCATAACTCAAAGGCATCAATTCTTCTATGGTCTTCCTTATTCGCTGTCCAGCTTTTGCATGCATATGAGGGTATTGAAAATACCATGGCTTGGGTCACCTCAAGCTGGAATCTTTGCCCTTCAGCCCTTTGAAAAAGTTTTGTGCAGCAGATTTGCCTAATGCAATATGTCATTAGATTTCTTTACTGCTGCTTCCGTAAGTGTTGATAGTTGATCCAAGAAGAATGAAGTCCTTGACAACTTCAATCTTTTCTCCGTTGATAAGAATGTTGTTTATTGGTCCAGTGATGAGCATTTTTGTTTTCTTTACATTGAGATGTAATCCATACTGAGTCTGTGCTCTTATCTTCATTAGTACATGTTTTAAGTCCTCTTCACTTTCACCAAGCAAAGTTGTGTGTCATCTGCATATCGCAGGTTGTTAATGAGTCTTCCTCAAATCCTGATGCCACGTTTTTCTTCATATAACCCAGCTTCTCAGATTATTTGCTCAGCATATGGGTTGAATAAGTACGGTGAGAGAATACAACCTTGTCGCATACCTTTTTTAATTTTAAACCATTTAGTGTTCCCATGTCTGTTCGAACAACTTGCCTCTTGGTCCAGATACAGATTCCTCATGAGCACAATTAAGTGTTCCGGAATACTCATACTTTGCAATGTTCTCCGTAGCTTGTCATGATCCACACAATCAAAAGCCTTTGCATAGCCAATAAAGCACAATAAAACATCTTTCTGGTATTCTCTGCTTTCAGGCAAGATTCATCAGACATCAGCAATGATAGCCCTAATTCCATGGACTCTTCTGAATCCGGCTTGAACCTCTGGAAGTTCTCTGTTAATGTATGATTGTAGCCATTTCTGTATTACTTTTAGCAAAACTTTACTTGCATGTGATATCAAAGAGTCCGATGATTTCTGCATTCCATTGGGTCACCTTTCTTTGGAATGGGCACAAATATGGATCTCTTCCAGTCAGTGGGCTAGATAGTTGTCTTCCAAATTTCTTGGCAGAGATGAGTGAGTGCCTCCTGTGCCACCTCGTTTTCTAGAAAGATTTCAGTTTTTATTCCATCAATTCCTGATGCCTTGTTCTTTGCCAGTTCCTTCAGTGCACTTTGGACTTCCTCCTTCAGTATCATTGGCTCTTGATCATATGCTATCTCTTGAAACGGTTGAACATTAACCATTTCCTTTTGGTACAGTGACTGTGTATTCCTTCCATCTTCTCTTGATGCTTTGTGCATCATTCAGTAATTTACACAGAGAATCTTTTAATAATGAAAATTTAGGCTTGAATTTTTTCTTCAATTCCCCCAGCTTGAGAAATGCTGAGCGTGTTCTTCCTTTTTGGTTTTCTGATTCCAGATCTTTGCACATTTTGTTGTAATATTTGGATTTGTCTTCTCTAGCTGATCTTTGAAATTTTCTGTTCAGCTCTTGTACCTCCTCATTCTTCCATTTGCTTTAGCATCTCTTCACTGGAGAGAAAGTTTCGGTGTCTCTTTTGACATCTATTTTGACCTTTTCCTTCTTTCTTGTCTTCTCAAATGACTTTCTGCTTTCTTCATGTATGATGTTCTTGATGTCATCCCACAACTCTTTTGATCTTCAGTGTTTAGTATGTAATGTATCAAATCTGTTCTAAATTCAGGTGGGATATATTCAAGGTCATGTTTTGGCTCTCGTGTATTTGTTTTCATTTTCTTCAGCTTCAATTTGAATTTGCATATGAGTAATTGATGGTCTCTTCTACAGTCTGCCCCTGGCCTTGTTTTCACTGATGACATGGAGCTTTTCCATCGTCTCTTTCTGCAGATGTAGTCAATTTGATTTCTATGTATTCCATCTGGTGAGGTCTACATGTATAGTCATCTCTTAATGCTGTCTAAAGAAGGTATTTGAAATGAACAAATCATTGGTTTTGCAGAATTCTATCATGCATTCTCCAGCATCATTTCTGTCACCAAGGCCATATTTTCCAACTACTGGGCCTTCTTTGCTCCCAACCTTTGCATTCCATTACCAGTAATGATCAATACATCTTGATTGCATGTTTGATCAATTTCACATTGAAGAAGTTGGTAGAATTCTTCTATTTCATCCTCACTGGTTTTAGTGGTTGGTGCGTAAATTTGAATAATAGT